CAGGGAGACCTGCAGGGTCGCCGCGCAGCACGCGTGGCGCGCTCCGCGGAAGGGCGCAGGAGGCGCCCCTCTCCTCTCTCGCAGAGGCGGCCCGAACGACCCCCAACAGACGGACCCCTCCCGTGCCGAGCTTCTCACCGCGCTCCAAGGCGCGGGCAGGCGCCCACAGGGGAGCCTCGAGGGCGAGGGAATCGTCACGGACGTTCGGTGACACCCCACTCCGTCCCCGTCCTTCCTTTGTCGCTTCTTTGCCCTCCTGGCCGTTGGCGTCGTAGGCGCCCACTGGCTGAGCACAGCAAGCCCTCCTCCCAAGAGACCATTTTTTTAAATCCACCCAGGGGATAACGCATGTTCCCCCCCCCTCCCCCCCCGTAGCGGTAACGCCTTGGCCCCGATCCAGCGCGCGATCCCGGGCAGCCTAGGGTCTGTTGTGCACGCTGGCGTGCACTATGGTGCACGCAGGAGACTGTTTTTCAAGGGTCCGGCGATAACCCGAGTTAGCGGGCTCGCCCCCCGCCCCCCCGCCCCAGGATAATCTAACCTAGCCAGTTGTGCAGGTCCACGGTGGGCGCAGGGAGTTTGCAGGGAATGCTGTGTTCAACAGCGCGGTGGTGTTCGCCACAGAACGCTGGTGTTTGGATGCACGTTGGCGAAACGCTGGGGCTGGGAGCGGCATGGGGCGACGACGACGACGACGACAAACGACAGACGACAAACCACGACAGACGACGATAGATGACGATAGACGACGACGAGCGACGACGACGACACCGACGACCGACGACGACCGACGTCGTCCGTAGGCATCTGGACGTGCACGTGAGCAGCGCGTGCGCAGGCATTGCGTTGTGCACAGGCAGCGAGGCGACTTGGTGCGCGCATTTGTTGCTTTTGCAGCAATATCTGTTGTGTATGCAGGCGTTGTGGTGCACGCAAGCATAGGTGCACGTAGGTCGCGCGGTGCACGCGGGCATCGTGATGCACGCACGCAATATGGTACAGACAGGCTTTGTGGTGTGTGCAATTGCTGCTTCAACATCAGTCGTAATGCGCGCAGGCATCCCAAGCATGGTGGTGTACAGGAGCACTGTGGTGCACTGTCACTGCGGTGTACCACACCTTGTGGTGTACACAGGCGCTGCGGTGCACACATCCGCTGCTGTGCACACATTCGCTATTGTGTACACAGGCGTTGTGGGCCCAAAAGACGGGACCGTTCCCTGCGCAAGACAAATCAATGATCACAAATAGCTTGCAGATTGGATTTGATACGTTCGGATTCCCCACGATTTTCTGGAGTTCGGTCCTGCCGGGGGCCCTGGAAGTGTGCGCAGTTCTGAGGTGTACACACGCGGTTTGGTGCACCGGAGCTGTGGTGCACGAGTATGGTGCTGAAGCAGCAACCGTGGTGACGTATGCGTCGTCGTGTTCACAGGCAGTGTGTGTGGTGTAGACAGGCGCTGCGGGGCACACGGGCGTTGTGGTGTACAGACGCATTGTAGTGTACACAGGCATTGTTGTGTAGACAGGCGCTGCGGTGTACACAAACAGCTGTGGTGTGCAAAGTCGTCGTGGCGCACGCTAGACAGGCGCTGTGGTGTACACAAAAATGGTCGGCCAAAAACGGGGGTACCGCACCCCGGGGCAAGAAAAATCAAGAATCACACATTATTTATATATTGAACTTGAGATGTTCGGGCCCCCGGCGATTTTCCAGATTTGGGCCCGGCGGGACCTTGGAGGTGCACGGAAGCGCTGTGGCGCCAATGTTTGCCATGCGCTGCGGTGCACGCGGCTCCTGTGGTGTGCACAAGCATCGCAGTGTACACAGGCGCTGTGGTGCACACGGGTGTTGTCTGGCATTGTGTTGTACACAGGCACTGTTGTCTAGACAGGCACGGCGGTGTACACAAGCAGCTGTGGTGTATGAAGGCGTCGTGGCGCATGCTAGACAGGCGTTGTGACGTACACAAACATGATCGGCCAAAAACGGGGGACCGTACCCCAGGCCAGAAAAATCAATAACCGCAAATCAGTTACATTGAATTTGATACGTTAGGGCCCCCGACGATTTTCCGGAGCTTGGCCCCGTCGGTATTGCCTTCAGGCGTGCACGAACTTTGCGGTGTGCGCAGGCGCTGTGGTGCACAGGGGGTGCTGAATCAGCGGCTGTGGTGCACGCAGGCGCCGTGGCGTGCGCAGATCGCGCGATGTACAAAGGCGTCGTGGTGCACGCGGTTGTTATGGTATACACAGTCGCCGTGGTGCACACACACATACGATTTCTGTAGCAGCCTTGGTGCACAAAGGCATTGTACAGAGCCCGTGCTGTGTGCACAGGCGCTGTGGGCTTGGGCGGCGACGATGACGACGACGACGACGACGACGACGACGACCACGACGACGACGACGACGACGACGACGACGACGGAGGCGGCGCGCCTCACGGGGTGCGCGCCGCGGCCCCAGTCACCTTTACCCCCCCCAGGCCCCCCCCGGG